GGTTCCCCATCGACTCGGCTTTGGGAGAGGAAATTCCACTTCTCATAGATCAGCGGTCTACACACCTGAATCCGCAGGCAGCAGGAAGAGAGAGTGAGCCGCTAGGTCTAGTTTGAAATGCTGAAACCTCAAGGCCCGCCCACAAGAAACACGCTTCCTTCAACAAGGCCACGCCTACTCCAACTAGGCCACACCTCCTAGTAGTGCCACTCCCTTTGAGCCTATAGGGGCCATTTTTACTCAGTCCCCCACAGGCCTTTATTCTTACACACGCAGCTGGCCTTGAACCCTTGCGGCCTGTGGGAGTGAGGGGAGTGGGAGGGATCAGGTGGCTGGAGAATCAATGTGAGCTGATTCCTCTGGGAATCTTTTTCTTTTCTGTTTTGCTTTTGAGCACGTTTGGTAATGTAGCTACCTCATCGCTTTTCAAAATGTAATTAAAATGTTATTATATCATTCCCCCTCCCTCTCCTCCCTTCTACCCTTCCTGTGTCTGTCTGCCACACATATATGCAGCTTTTCCTTTAACCATTAGTGTTACATATTCATACATGTAAGGTAATAAACACATAAATACAAATTGCTGGCTTTGCTTAGTGTTGCCTGCGTTATGTTTCTTGTTTGGTTGGTTGGTTTTGTTTTGTTTTTCGAGACAGGGTTTCTCTGAGTAACCTTGGCTGTCCCGGACTCACTTTGTAGACCAGGCTGACCTTGAACTCACAGAGATCCTCCTGGCTCTGCTGGGATCACAGGCGTACGCCACCACCACCGCCCAGCTTGCATTATATTTCTTAATACTGAATAACCAGCCAGGTGCCCGTTCCTGGGGAACACTGATTCTTCCTCTCCCAGTAGTTGTTAATTGCTCGTAGCTCTTCCTTTAGGGATGGACCCTGTGACCATCCTCCCCTCCCCGAATCCACGTTGTGATGTCAACTGCCATCGGAGTTGTTCAGGCCCTGTTTAAGCAGCCATCCTCTCGGTCCTGTTTGTCCATCCCCTTCTTCTGCCCTCCTGGAACTTTCTATCTTCCCACAGTGCCCGTGGCTATGGAAGCCTGCCCTCCTTGTTCTGCACTTATCCCACAGTCCCTTCCCTGTCTCTGTGGCCCTTTATCAGTTCTTAATAGTTAGATGTTTTGTTTTGTCTTTTTTTCCTCAAGGACAAATGCACAGAGACCACTCATTCACCTCTTATTTGGGGAGATGCTTTTTGCAAATATAATCCTGGCATGCAAGGACCCTCATCGTGACCCCATGTCCTTATACGTAGAGGGAGGTGTGGACACAGCCACATACTGAGGGGAGGGCATGCAATGGCAGGTAGAGGCTAGTGTGACAATACATGAGGGAACTCCAGAGACTTCCAGGAGTTTCTGAGAAGCTAAAAGATGCTGGAAAGGACCCTCTCTAGGGGACCTCCAGAGGAAGTAGGCCCTGTGAACCCTGGACCCCTGCCCTGGACTTCTGCCTCAGCACAGAGAGAATTCATCTCTGCTGATTCAGGCTCCCACTGCGTGTGGTCATCGGTTACCACAATATTGGAAACAGAAGATGAGTGTTAGCCACAATCTGAGGAGGTTCCAGGCCAGCTCTGGCAGGCTTTGTAGAACAGGTGGCTTTTTAGAGGCGCTCTGTCCCGAAGGCAGAGCTAGCCCAGCTCACAGGTTTACGCAGTGCAGGGGGAGTCAGAGGAGGGTTGAGCATGCTCAGGCCCCGGAAGCTTCCTGGTGCTTCCACTGAGGATAGCTTGTTGGTGGGCAAGGGATGAGTGTACACAGAGCCCTCTTCCGCCTGACTTCTCCCCAGCTGGCACCACTCTGCCCAGAACTCAGTATCTCCCCTGCAAGCAGCAGCTTAATTAGAGGGAGCTGTCCGGCTGTCTGTGTCTGTCTGTCTGTAGTGCTTCCTTCCTAGTGCTGAAGGGTTGGACCTTGGCTGGTGACAGTGTCTCTGTACACCTCTGGCTAGCAACCTGCACAGCCAGCTGTGGGGGGGTGGTCAGTGGGGGAAGGCCTGGAGTTCCTTCCTGGCTGACTCTGAGATGTGAGGCAGGTCAAAGACAGAGAGGCAGGAAGGAGTCCAGTAACCTGTCCACTTCAGTGTATCTTAGGCAATGAGATTTAGTAGGTCCCAGGACAAAGTCCCATCTTCCCCCACACAGCGCTCACGGGTAGATCCAGATCTAGGGGAGTAGGAAAAACAGTGAGTGAGTAGACCAATCAGTGAGGTTGGTTGATGAGGCCTTCAGAAGGGCTGGGATTTACAGTTTGGCCAGTAAAAACCCCTGGTCTCAGCCCTGGGACAAGGGGTTGGCTGGTCACCTTGGGGTGTAATAAAGGACAATAAAACCAGGAAGGGGAGAGGAGCTCCCCAGTGAGTGGGATGAGGCTGGGTCATTCTGCACAGAGGTTAGGGAAAGGCCTGGCAACAGGTGCTGGAGAAGAGTTTGGGCAGAAACCCCTCCCCCATAGTGGCGGCCATGTCCTATTTCCTCCCTATAAGCACTTGTTTATAGGAGATGGTGTGAGGAGATCCAGGCTAGGCCCTTATGCTGGGGGTGTCCTGGGTTGTCCATGTGGCATTGAAGTCCATTTTCAGAAGGCAGAGGATGAGGCCTGGGAGAGGGACAGAGAGATGAGGAAGAGAGAGCAGGAGGAAAGGGGAGATGGAGGCGGAAGCAGCCCAGGGGAGTTGTTTGGAGACACCAAGGAAAGGCTTCCATGATGTTTTCATCTGGAGCCTCATGGGTGAAAGTGATCTTGGATCCGGAGTCTAGAACTTCGGCGGGTGTGTGTGTGTGCAGTTTTCTGGGAGAGGGGAAGAAGCTGCAGCTGCAAAGAGTGAGACAAGCAGAGGCGGGAAAGTGAAGGGAGCAATCCTATTGCCCTTGGCTAGGTGCTCACTGGCCCTACACAACGTGAGGGTATAGCACACAGCGGACAGGGCTCCTCCCAGTTCCCAGGCAGGAAGCCAGAAGTCTGGGTGGTCTGGGTCAGCAGGCCCTGTAGGGGCAGGAGCACCTCTGTCCTCCCCTGGGGTGAAGAATGGGCAAGTCTCTGGTCCTCTTATGCTGGGGTGCTAACTTCAGTCTCTGGGCTCCACACCCGTGGCCTCTTGGCCTCGTGCTCAGGGCACCACAGCGTCCCAGACCACCGATTATGAAAATACATAGTAACCACAGGGTTCACAGTTGAGAAAATAAAAAGAGCGATTGATGAAGATGGTCCCCAAGAGGAAAATGAGCAAAGGATTTGCTTTCACAGAAGCGGACAGCTAGATGGCTAGCGAGTAAATAGAAAGCTTTCCAGCTTAAAAAAAAAAAAAAAAAATTAGAAAAGACACTGACCCTACTGGCTACCCACAATATGTAAATTAAGAGGAGGTGGTAGGCGCATTCTCCTTCAGAAGGTGAAGCCAGAGCATATGATTAAAGACTGGGGGGGGGGGCAACCAGAGCCATACCCATCAAGCTGGAGAATAATTCATCAGGAGAGGTGACTAGGGCAGCTCAAAAAGTACGCTATTGTTACCTAATTTAGTGTCTGGTAATACTGAGAGAATAGTTAGCACTCTAAGTTTGTTAGCTGGATGGTTTAAGAGTTGCTAGTACCAAAAAGGAAATTGCTGAAGCAAGACTGTCAGATTAAAAGTCTTTTGCAAGACACTCCTGAGTGACTCCAACCAAGCCTCCGGTCTCTGCTCCTCCTGTGTGGGTGGGGCAGGATGTGGATGTTCACAGCTCAGCTCCTCAGGCTGGGTGAGTGACTCTGAGTCTTGGGGGCCTCCTTCGTCCTAACGCCCCTCCAAGTACAGAAGCCAGCTGGTCCTGTCGCCAGGCTGATGCCCGGGGCCACCAGCCTTCTGCATTCTCCTTACCAGAGCAGAGTCGCAGGCAGTCTGCTTCCCAGCTGGCCGCTTACTCAGACATGGGGCCCCTTCCATTCATTTCCAGCTGTTGACAGCAGATGTCCCTGAAGATGACCAGAAAGGAGGGCAGAGGCTTTTCCTAGTGCAGCCATCCCAAGACTCAGAACTCAGGATCCCAGGACCTGGGGGGTAGAGGTAGGGGAAAGTCTTTGATGGTGGGTGAAGTGGGAAGGACAGATGGAAATCGTAGTTGGAGGATCTTTTTTTCCAGCCAGTGGTGGTTGTCCTGTCCTGTAGGGTGACAGAGGACAGAGGATGCAGAGCCTCTGGAGTTCGGCTGGCTGTATTCTGACAAACTAAAGCGGTGTACACGTGAGGGCTGAGTGAGTCAAGTGAAACGGAAGCCGCTGGTATGGTTCAAGGTCGAGAGGCTGAGGGGGGAGGGCTCTAAATTCAAAGGCCAGCCTGGACTACATGGACAGTATGAGGTCAGCCTCAGCAACATGAAGAAAACACACACACATAGAGACAGACAGAGAGACAGAGGCACTGTGTCCAATGAATTAATCAAAGATGAGAAGCAATATTTCAGCCAGAGAGATTGGTGTTTTAAGGAAAACCAAACCAGGATGCAAAGGGCCCAACAGTGATCAACTCTTCACAGGGTGGCTTCTGCAGGGGGCCCTCTGGCCCCATGGCCTGGGAGAGGGCCAGCGGCTTCCCTGTGCTTCTTCTAAACCGAGAACTCAGAGTCCAGGTCCATGAGAGCACAAGGGGGACGCGTAAGCAGGGTGTGTGTGACCATCTCCATTGTGACGTGTGGGGGCTGGGCAGTCACCATGCCGCCCGGAATGTCCCCACTGCCTGCCTTCCAAAAGTGAAGGACACACTGAGGGTTTGAGTGTAAATCCCAATTCCCTGTGAGCACGCCACAGCTGTGCCGGTGGTCAGGAAGGCATCTGCCCCCCACATCACCCCTCTCATGGCTGGTCCCCCAGCCTGCCTCATTCTCCATCTTCTGTACACATCACTGATGCCTTCCCCCTGTTCATAAACACAAGGCATGCACATATGCCCGAATGTCCCCCTTTGCTCATAAACACAGGACACATGCACGCCCCTGCACTCGGCACCATTCTGATGTTTAATGTGGAATTTACAAGGAACCTCACTGTTCAACACATCTCACTGTTCAACCATTGGAAGACGATACATCCGAGGGGAAAACCAGAGTCCTTGGGAGACCGAGTGCAAGACCCAAAGAAAAAGTACAGACCCATTTCTGTATAAGAATATATTATTTAAAAGACAGTTTAAAAATAAAAATTCTGTACAACATCATGAATTCCTGTTTTTATACCAGTGAACAAAATGGTTCTTAGAAAACATGGTCTGTGGCGGGTCATCAGGGGGTCGCCTGGGCATGACCCTCTTTGTGTGGAGGATCCTGGGAAGCCCCACTGGCTCTGTCCGCTCAGAGGCCACAGCTCCGCTGCTTTAACCGGTACAGTCTGCTGGGAAAAGAGGAAGACGGCATGTTTTTCTCTGTGGGAAATGGAGAAGGCACAGCCACAGGACTGAGTGAGAAGTTGAGATGGTAATAGAATATATGGGATATTAGCATATCACAGACATGCTATAGGAAAGACCTGGGCTGGGGAGGGCTAGGAGCCAACCCTGCTTTTGCAGAGGACCCAAGTTTGAGCCCAGGCAGCCACAGCTGCCTGTAACTCCAGGGTATCCAATACCTTCTTCTGTTCCCTATGTTCACATGCCCACACATACATACATAGTTACAAATAAAATAAAGTCTTTTCTTTAAAGCAGAAGTAGAGCTGGAGAGGTAATCCAGTGGTTAAGAGCACTGGCTGCTCTTCCAGAGGACCCAGGTTCAATTCCCTGTATCCACATGGAGGCTGACAACTATCTGTAACTCCAGTTCCAAGTGATCCAGTGTATTCATCTGGACTCCACAGACACCAGGCATTCAAGTGATACCCAGACATATAAGCAGGCAAACACACAACACACACATGGCCAAATGGGGTACTAACTGGGGAATGAAAGAGAACCATCTGGACAGGATAAATGGGTGAAGGGCAGGGCAGGAAGGGATGAGAAGGGATAATGACACAAGACGTATGAAGACACCAGGGTGAAAACCATTAGTTTGTATACTAACCTATAAAATATAAAAAGAAATGAGGTTGGGGCTAGAGAGATTCTTAACTGTTGAGTTAGGAACACCAACCGCTCTTGCAGAGGACATGAGTTCAGTTCCCAGCACCCATATGGCAACTCACAACCAAGTGTAACTCCAGTTCCAGGGGATCTGATGACCTCTTCTGTCCTCCCTGGACTCCAGCACACACCTGATGAACACTCAAACAGACAGACACACATGTACACAAATAAAATAAATCTTAAGAAGAAGAGGAGGAGGAGGAGGAGGAAGAAGAAGAGGAAGAGGAAGAACAATGAGGTTGTCAGTAACACCACACACATAGGCAAAATTAGGCAATGTCAATGCCATTTTTCTTTTCAAGAACACGACCTGGCTTCAAAGCTCACTGGAGGCCTTGCTATGGAACAGCCGTTCACACAACCAAGCGCTCAAGTCCCAGCAACAGCACTGTGATCTGGGGTTCACAGAGGTGGCGGCACATGGCTGTCACTCGCAAAGGTTTTACCAAAAGCACCTCTCAGGCTGAAGTCCTCGCTGTTTCCCCTTCAAACCCAGCTTCTGGGCTCCCTGCATGAACCTGCAGCTTCCCTGGCAGGCACCCAACAGTTACACGCTTAGGGAGAGGTTAGCATTCGCTGAAGTATGCGCTGGCTGAGTAGTTGCATCAAATGAAGAGCTGTTGCAACGGAAGTTTTGGTTTCTTTGCAAACTCAGATATGCTATGTGAATATGTTTTTGTTCTAATCCAAGTGTGGGATTTCAGCTGGGCTTTAGTTTGTCCACGGCTGATAATTGTCTCATTTGAGGCGAGGCATGGCTTTTGCCGGCTGATAACAGCCTTTCTTTTGGTGGCATGGGCTAGGGCTCTGAGGGTATAAATATGAGAGCCCAGAAAAAGAAGGTATATGTGTGAGGTGTTGGCGTGTGGCCTGTAGCACTCTGGAGAGACCAGAGAGATGGATGGTGTGATGGTTTGGAGCAGAGAGATGGAGAGAAATGCTTTGGGGAGCACCGGCTTAGAGGGGACTCCTGGCTGCGTTTGCCGTTGACGGAGATTGGTATAGCCCTAAAAAAATTCCTTTGACCCTAAACAGACAGGAGAAGTAAAGAGGTCTGCGACCTTCTCTCTCCTACCTAGGGTTGGGAGGTTGGAAGGGAGGTAGAGGCCTAAACACCCCAAATAAAACAGAGTTCAAGAAATGAGCACTACAGGCTGTGTCAGGAGCTGTCAGGGGACATGCTTGTGGTGACCGGGGCAGATGCTTTTTAAAAGCTTCCAATCCTCCAGACGCACTTCACAGACCATCTCCTCTCAAGAGTGGCTCACATCCTAATAATTAATCCTTTCTATAACCAAAATGTGAGCCCTTCCAAATCAGGGCCCGGAGTCTAATTAGGTTGTGCAGGATTAAAATTTCACTCAGTGGAAAGCAGGCCACATGCTGTGGTTTGACTCAGCTCTCGCCCTGTAAGCATATCCAGCAAGTGAGAGTTTCTAAGTGTCCTGGTGTGTTCCTGTGTGATGGTCAATCCTCACCGTGAGGTTAAAGGTGAAAACACCTGACTGCGGTGTTTAGGGGACATCTGTGGGAGGGGAGTAGGCTAGGCAAAGACTGAATCAGGGTGCACATCCCACTAGGGGAGGGGGAGCCAGTGCATACCTTTAATCCTAGCACTGGGGAGGCAGAGGCAGGCGGGTCGCTGTGAGTTCAAGGCCAGCCTGGTCTACAAAGTGAGTCCAGGACAGCCAGGGCTACACCGAGAAACCCTGTCTGGAAAAACCTAAATAAATAAATAACAAATAGAAGAGGATAGGAGAACACACATACACACAAATGCAGACACACTCACATGCATACACGTACACACACACACACACACACACACACACACACACACACACACACACTTTGTCCTCTCCACATACAGAACTCTACTTACTGTATACACTGAGACATCAGTTTGGAGGAGAATGGCCTTCATTGTTTTTCACATCTCTGTTCTTCTCTGTGGCATCTTCTGTGGCTCCAGATGGCAAGTTTTCCGTCTTCTTCTGTAACTAAGAGAACAGAGGTCAGCCCCGGGAGGTGGCGGGCCAGTTCAGGCAGCCTCTTGTCTCTGGACATGTCTGTTGCCTGCAGACGCTCAGATTCGAAAGATGGCTGCCCACACATACATGGGCAGCAATGACTGGATCAAGCCAGCCACAGCCCACAGCCCACAGCCCACAGCCCCAGGCCTGGGCGCCAAGTTCCTGTGCCATGCTCAGCCCTATCACTTCTTTTAATGCTTCCCTCTCTAAGGCCAGGACAACAGCCTGGGAAGGCTCCGCCATTCATTCCTGCTGGGCAGTGGAATGTAGGATTGCAGACTCAGGTCCCCCTGAGCAATGGCTGATGGGATGGCCATGGTGGCAGAGGCCCGGAAAGCCTTCCTGTGGGAGTCTGGGGTGGAGATGCCTTCTCCATGTGGCCCTTTGGTGTGTCAGTTTCACCCTCAGCTTTTTAGATTTTCAGAGGCGTCTTGTGACTTCCTGGCAGGAGAGGCCCACCAGAGAGATTGGGATTGCTGGCCTGTACAGTCATTCTCTATGCATCCACCACATGTCTGTGACGTTGTACACCGGAGGATGTGCACGACGGATATTGCTGAAGGAGATGTGACCAATACCAGGCCACACTTGGGAAAGAAGGCAGAAAAGATGGCTACGGAGTCCTCTGTCACCAGGGAGCTTGGATGGATGGGTGCTGAGTAGGAAATGAGGGACAGAGGGGCATCTCAGGTTGGGGGGGTGTGGTCATGGTTGCCAAAGAGAGGTCTGGAGGGTATAAGAAGGGGGGGGAAAGCTGGGTGTGGTGGTGCATACCTTTAATCCCAGGCAGAGGCAGATGGATCTCTGTGAGTTCAAAGCCAGCCAGAAGGAGGAGGAGGAAGAGGAAGAGGAAGAAGAAGAAGAAGAGGAGGAAGAGGAGGAGGAGGAGGAGGAGGAGGAGGAGGAGGAAGAAAAAGAGAAGTGGGTAAAGTTTTCTGGGTATACAGATGTCCTGATAGGAGCAGGGGATGAGGTGAGTAGGGAAAGACCTGGCCACCACACCAGGCAGGAGGCATGGATTGAGTCCCTAGTGAAGAGAGGTTCACATAGCTGAACCCCCTACGGGAATAGAGACTCCTACCTTCTCCTGAGATCCAGCATCCACAATACCCTAAAACCTCTTCATTTCCCAAACCTTAAGGACAGCCGAGTTGGCCTGTGTGTGCTGTGTCTGAAAGGATGGACTTGGGCTCTTGCTTTGTTTTCCCATCTTTTTCAGGGCAGCCCTCACTGAATAGTCCTGGCGGGGAAGAGGGCATGGGGCAGGGAGGTGCTAAGAGATACTGCAGAGGCTGAGATGCACTGTGGGTCTCCAGAGTCACTGGCCAGCAGGCCCTGAGGAAAGCACTGGCCGCTGCAGTCTCTGGGTAGAGACTGCTTGTAGCGAGCATTACATCTAGGCCCCTTGCCTCACCGAGCTTGGCTCTCCCGCCCTTTGTACGGCCTGCCCGCAAGTCCCTGGCTACCTGCCTGCGCCCCGTGTGCTGCCCTTACCTCCTTCATGGCGTCGTCCAGCTGCTTCAGCTCCTCGTAGTGTTCTCGGGACTCCCAGAGTGGCCGCAGCATTGTCTCCTCGACAATGGGGAAGAGCTGGGGAGCAGAGGGTCCAAGGTCAGCCCACCGTTGTTAAGTTGCAAAGGACACCTGAGGAGGGCTGTGAGGCCCTTGGGAGTCCCTGCGAGCCTCAGGGGTCTCACTTCTCAAAGGCCTCAAACTAAGGCCTTCAGGGAAACCCAGGATGTTAGGCTGTGAATCTCCCAGCCAGGTCCAAGGCCTTGGGACCCTGGTGCAGCCCCACCCATCTCCTTTCTCTGGCTCTGGCTCAGAGTTCCACTCCCATCATTCCTCACAGGACCTCAGAAAGCCTACTGCCTTCTCCCGTCCCCACTTCTTCCAGCAAGACAAGGGTAGGCGTGGCCCCAGAGCATCTTACTCCGGGGACAGATGTGACAAAATTCCTGATGGTGGTCCTAGGAATGGGAAGAATGTGGGTGGCTCTGAGAAGCCCAGATAATGGCGGGCAGGAAGGGAGGGGGAACACACGGATGGCAAGAGATGAGCATGTGTTTGGGATCTGGTGGGGGGGGGGGCTGAAAGTGGTGGCCTTGAGCAGGACGCAGAGGCAGCGCTGGGACCTGGCTGTGAGAGTTCCCCAGCCCGAGGTCACCAATTCTAGCTGCTCCTTTAAGGCGGGGCTTGGAAGGGCAGGAGAGCCAACAGCTGGTACAGCCGGCTGAGCCTTAAGGCTGGCAGAGACAGGCAGTGGCAAAGTGGGTACTGAGGGCCTAAGATGCACACATGGAGCTCTGTGAAGAGTGCTGGGTGTGGGGCAGGGGTGGGGGGCGACGGACCTGGACACAGCAGAAAGAAATGGCTGCCAGGCAACCATCACCATGACAGTGGATGATGAAGCTGTAGAGGGCTCAAGCACGCGTTTGCACAGCGCTGCACCTCTCTGAAGTGTGTGTGCATGCGTGCATGCGTGTGTGTTCATGTGTGTCTTTGGCCGCTGTACCATCAGCACGGTCACTCGCCTTGGTCACTGTTTCAAACATCGGGATCAGGACAAACTTGATGAACCCGATCTGGGCTGTTGCTTTGGTCACTTTGTCTCGGTCCATGAATGGGGCCACAGGAAGGCCTTCCGACTTCTCACGGTCACTCTGCAGGGAACATAGTGACAGGGATACTGAAGGCACAAAGGCCCCGTGGACTCACTCACAACACAGAGCGGACCTGTTCTTACAGGAGGAACAGGACATGCTGACCAGCTGTGACCCCTCCCCCCCCCGCCCAGCCACACAAAATCCCTACAATGGTGAGGACACAGTGAGCCTGCAGCGTAAGGGCTACATATGAGACAAGGCGAGATGAGCAGGTTGGAGACATAGGGAGCAAGCCTAGAGACAGGTCAAGTGTCTGTTCAAGGCCATGACCCAGCAGCCTACAAGGCGGAACTTGACAGGCACTTGCCTGCATCTCCCTGCAGCTATCCTATGACCCTGGCCTCCCCCCTCCACAGGGGCTGTCCCTCCCCTCAGGTCTTGCTTCTTGACACTTAGTCACTGTCCTTGAGCCTTCTTCTAAAAGAATGGCCATGGGAGTCAGTTTCATCATACTGTTCTCTCTCTCTCTCTCTCTCTCTCTCTCTCTCTTTCTTTCTGGTGGCTGCTGTCTTGCATCTATAACACTGTCTGATCAAGACTGATGAACTCCTCATCTTCCTACCTCCCAGCCGTTAGGATCAGAGGTATGTGTCACCATGGCTGGTCCTCAAAAACAATGCCAAATACAGAACATCATTTCTGCAATCTGTCTAGGCAGACAGTGTTGTGGAGGTTGCTGGGGCGTGGGATGGCTATGCCAGTCACTCTGGTCTGCTCTTTCCAACGCAGCACAGAGCCGGGAAGTGTGCTCGTAATCTGCTGCCTCAGCGTTTCTTACCTGCATAAAATATTCTTCCAGCAAACAGTCCACCCACGGTTCTGCCACCTCCATGGGACGGACCTCATTGGAGATATCACAGCATTTTATGAGAATCATCTTCAGCTGAAAGAGATGCAACATTCAGGGCGATGGCAGACACGGCACACGGCTGCTGTGTGGGATGACTGGATTCGCCATCATAAGTGGGAAAAAGGATGGGCTGGCCACCGTGACAAGAGTTTTTCCACCTTGAAGGATGCACTTCCCTCTTTGCTCTCTCACTGCACTGGGATCCTCACAGTCTGGATTTCCCAGCTTCCCCAGGTAAGGATGGGGACCCATCAGATACACAAGCATTGAGAATACCAATTGTAGGGACTGGAGGGATGGCGCAGTGGTTAAAAGCAGCGACTGCTCTTCTAGAGGACCTGGGTTCAATTCCCAGCACCCACATGGCTCACAGCTGTCTGTAACTCCAAGATCTGACACCCTCACACAGACATACATGTAGGCAAAATAAAATAAAACATAAAATAAAAATAAATAAATTATGAAAAAAAACTATAACTATAAACTGTCTCTTAAATTAAAAAGTGAGTGAGAGCCAGGCATGGTGGCGCACGCCTGTAATCCCAGCACTCAGGAAGGCAGAGGCAGGTGGATCTCTGTGAGTTTGAGACCAGCCTGGGCCTGGTCTACAAAGCAAGTCCAGGACAGCCAAGGCTACACAGAAAAACCCTGTCTCACAAAAAAAAAAAAGAAAGCCGGGGTGGGGGCAGCTAGGCACTTGGGTTCTGTCATGTTGAACCGGTTTCACGCTGCAGCTCAGGCTGGCCTTTAGAACTCAAGGCTGGCCTTGAACTCCTGATCTTCCTGCCTTCTAGCTGCTAGGATTACAGGTATGTGTCAACATGCCTGGTTCTCAAAAACAATGCCAAGGATATACAAATTCAAGGTCTGCCTACATGGCCAGCCTAGGTAACTTAAAGAGACTCTTGTCTCAAACTGTCAAGTAAAAACAGGGCTGGGGACATAGCTGAGTCACACAGCATTTGCCTATCATACGTGAAGTCCAGCACCTTGACAAGGAAAATGATTCTGTGACTGTGGGGAATACAAGAAAAATAGAGAGAGAGTGGACCTTGTTAAGAGGCAATGGTTTAAGAAAGGGGACCCCTGAGGGATGTTGAAACCGTGTTAAAGAGCATGGTGGCAAAGGCCTTGCAACCTCATGTTTGAGGACATGAGGGGGTGAGGGAGGTCAGCTAAGCGTTGCTTAGCTAGGGGTGTGTCCCTCAGGCAGGACCCTGATTATGGGATAAGAAAATTGAACAAAATTGTGCAAAAGGGCCTCAGCTCTGCTCTCTGTTCCCAAACACAGCTTTCCTGTGTCAGTCCATTCCCGTGCCTGGGGTTTCATGCTCTGCAGCCATCCCTCCCGTTAGAGCTCTGGGTCTGCCTATTAGGGTGAATCATTCTTGCTGGGCCTTGAAGGAATTATGAGTATTTGCTGTGCAGCCCCTTATCTGGTTCCCGGGCAGTTATCCTTCTCTGCTGCTCTGTACTGGAAGTGGTTCCAGTGCAGAGGCAGTTACAAGCTTGGTCTGGTTGGCCTCACGGGGGAACTGACCCAGACTAGACACTGTGGCCTCAGTAGCGGTTGGGTCAGGCTGGTTGATGTGTCTTCGGGCTGTGTTCTGGGCACTTCCATTTCCTTGGCCCGGGAGCCTCCAGGAAGAAGCTTGGACTTTGAACTCCTCCTAATCCTCTCTCTGCCCCTCTCTCAGTTTTTAGCTTCTCACCTTCACAGTGACCTGTCAGCCTGATCCTGTCCCAGGGGGGAAGTAGAGCCCTTGGTGGCAGTTCCTCCTGTACCTCCTCATCGATGGGCACGTGGGCAGAGGTGGGTGGGCAGATGTGCTTTTGGTCTGGCTTATCATCCTATCTACCCACTTGCACACTGGGCAGAGCCCCGGGCCTTCTGTGTGTCACACAGCACTGAGGCTAGCTTTCTTCATATGGCAGATGGAAATAAGGCACATAGGGTGTAGCCTGCTTGCTTCTCCCGGCCACTTCCCATCGTCTTTGGTTTAATTCTTTTGTCTTCCCCCAGACCTTAGCAGATCCTGCCAGGGATCTAACATGGCAGTACAGTAGCCTCCCTTTTTTTGTCCCTGCTTTTGCTTTCTATGCTTTTAGTCACCCAAAAATATTAAATAGAAAGTTCCAGAAATAAAGAGTCCACAGGTTTTAACCTCCATGCTGTTCTGAGCAACGCAGAAAGATCTTCACTCTACCCAGGATGGGACTCTTCCCTGACCATTAGTTACTGTATGCTCCTCTTGTTATTCTGCCTTATTTTGGTGTTAGGCTCTTCTGTGCCTAATTTGTAAGTTAAACTTTATCGCAGAGATGTGTGCATAGGAAAAAGTACAGTATACAAGGGTCTGGCCTCCCCATGGCTTCAGGCATCCATTGGGGTCCTAATAGGTACTCCCGAAGGATGAGACAACTGCGCCTCTCTTCTTTCCTTGGAGAGAGGGTGTTCTTGGAGGCCCTGACTTGGGGAAGGCACACCCTCCTTCTCTGCACCCCTGGCTACTCACTGGGATTCAGCCTTTCAGAGTAACAGCTCCCAAAAGCTCATGGGATAGAAGCCACAAGTTCATCCTGACCTAAGAAGGGCATCCTCGCTTTCTGTCAATCAGCTCTTCTGGAGGGGCAAAGTGGTGTTATTGTTTTTTGTTTTGTTGTTGTTTGTTTGTTTTTTGTCTGTTTGATTATTTATATAGCATTCTGCCTGCATGTGTGTTTGTGTACCAGAAGAGGGCACCAGATCTCACTATAGATGGTTATGAGCCACCATGTGGTTTCTGGGAATTGAACTGAGGACCTTTGGAAGAACAGACAGTGTTCTTAACCCCTGAGCCATCTCTCCAGCCCCGGTGTTATTAGTTTTAAAGACATTTATTTTTGGTTTATGTGCATGAATATTTTGCCTGCATGTATGAGTTTTTTGCCTCAGTCTCTCCACTGCTGGGGGTAACAGGGATGAACCAGCTTTTTTTTGCCTCAGTCTCTCCACTGCTGGGGGTAACAGGGATGAACCAGCAGGCTGGGCTTGCATTTTTGTTTTTTGGAAGGGAACGACATTGTGTAAACTCAAGCCATGTCCTTAAGGGAGAAGGAGGCCCTTGAGCCATGGCGTACTCTTTAGGAGGAAGCCTTGTCTACTGCTGGCCCAGGAAAAGTTGTGACACTGAAATCCAGTCACTCCAAGGCCAGGTGAGCCACCCGGGCTCCTGGGTTTCCCACTGAGCTAGGGCTCAGCTTTCCAAAGACACAACCTACCAGGGTCAGGTGCTCCTCGTTGCTGTAGTCAAAATTCTCCATTTTTTCTTTGAAAGAATCCATAATTTCGGCATGCCTCGCCATGTCAGTGGCCAAGATCAATGTGATCATCCCCTGAATAGCAAGAGGACATGGTGTCAGCACCTACCAGAACCTCAGTGAGTGCTCCCCACACTGTGCTCTGAGTTTCTGTGTGACCATCGCCCATGTGTGCGCTCTGTCTGTCCCCATGCCATGTTCACAGGCCGACAGGTTAACAGACGGGACATCATGCTGACTTGTGGAACAAGCAGATTTTCACCCAGTTGCCTAGATTTAATCACCAATTCTGCAATTAGCCCTGCTCAGAGCTTGCTAGTGGGTATCAATAACGGAGTTTCCGAGATAACTTTTGTGTCATCTATGTGACTGCACGGAGATTGATTATCCAAGTCAGAACATACTTGATAACCTTCCCGCTATCGAGTTTGTAAATGAGGATTCAACTGGCTTGTAAACCATAGCTTTGCTATTGTTTGATGCCCTCCTAAACTCAGGTGGAAACCTGGACCCTCCAGCGACTATGTTAAGAAGGACTGAGGTCCTTCTATGTTAAGAAGGGGATTATGGGGTTTATCCTCATGATGCAATTCATGTTCTCCCCCAACCCACCCAGCACTGGGTAAGTCCACAGGGAGTGATTTCTCACTTTAGCCCTTTAACCTTCTGCCCACATCTGTCACCAGAAGCAGAGCAGATGTGGATGCCAAGCTCTTAGACGGCCCAGACTCCAGAACTGTGAGCGAACACAAACCTCTTCCCTTTCTAAATTACCCAGTCTGTGGCATTTTATTAGAGCAGCTGAAACTAGACCAAGGCAGTTACTTTGTTAACTCAATAGTGGTTTAGGAAAAGAAGCGTAACTGGAAACTGTAACCATGTGCTCCTGCTTTCATTTCTCCTTCTATTCACCTAGCTTTCCATGCATCTAATGTATTCTACTTGTCTGCATGTCCTTCCATTGGCTGCACACCCCTCTACCCGTCCATCTGCATTCAACCCATCCATCCACCTGTTCTCCATCCATCCCACAAACAGTTACATAATGTCTCCATGCCAGCAGCAGAACTTCACTCTTCCAAGAAAATAAGACCGCCACCCTCAAAAGGCCAACCTCAAACAGCCAGTATGAAGAATCTCAAGTGTATATTTCTCGTGTGCGTGGGGTGGGGGACATTACCTTGCATTTTAAATTATGGACTTTTTTCTGTAAAGACTTGTTATTAACAGAATTTTCAGTTATCCCTCAAAACCTTCAGTGACAAAACCGTTCTGTATGTGTGACTATGGGTACGCACACGCACATGCCGTGACTGGTACACATGGAGGTCGGGGGACAATCTCGTTTGGTGGCCCTTGCCTTCCACTGTTGCTCACCGCAGTGGACTGACCAGGCTGGCTGGCCTTTGAGTGTCAGGTCATTCTCCTGCCTCTACCTCTCATCTCCCCGGGGCTGTGCACTCTGATTATAGGTGCTAGTTACTACTGCACCTAGCTTTGATGTGGGGTCTAGGGATCGGAACCCAGGTTGTCTGGCTTGTGTGGCTTGTGCTTTACCTACTGAACTATCTCTAAATTCTCTGGTAAAATATATTTCTTAAATTGGATAAATGATTTTTTGTTTCCAGAAAAAAAAAGTCTTATTTTAAAACTCTTAAACTTTGGGCTGGAGAGATCCTCAGCCATTAAAGGTTAGTCTTCACAACCATAAATATAAAACTCATAAACTTCTGGAGAAAGGCAAGCCTTGCTATCCCCATGGTGGCCAGCATGAAGAAGATCTGGTTTGTAGGGATTTATTGTCTCCTCATCCAATCATGTGACCCTCTTCCTCTTCTGGGGTGTTGCCTGATGTACCTTGCTGGGGAAAGGTACATACTAAGAGATGCTCCATCAGGCCCTTGCGGTCACTGGGGTAGCACTTGCCTGTGTGGCCACCTCCATTCCTAGCTCACCCTTTACCCACTTCAGAGAAGGCTGGGTATGGTTGTCAAAACAACCTATGGCACACACTGAGAGGGTGGAGCTGCAAACAGGAAGGAAAGGGCAGAGGCCTTCAGAGAGAGAGGAGAGGGCTGTGACAGGGTCAGGGATTCAATATTGACTGTGACCAAGCAGTGCAGCTGGCTAGGAGCTTCTCAGGGGACAGACAAATAAGGAAACGGTGCTTTATGAGGCGGCTGCTCTTTGACAAAGCCAAGCTTATAGGTTCCCCCGGAGACAGATGAACCTTTCCCCTGCATCAATTCAGCTGTGGGGGAGGCCAGCTGAGACTCAAAGGGCACGATCCCCCAAGGGACAGCAACAGATGAGTCTCAGAGAGCCCGGGAGGCTCCTTCTGTAACCAGCCTGGGTGGCCTCCCAGCTATGGGAATATAGTCCTTTATAGTTCTGAGGTCTAGACAGCCAAGTGGAAGGTGCCAGCATATTCATATTCCTCCCAAGGTTCGTGAGAAGGCTTCCTCCTGCCCGTTGTAGTTCTGGTAGCTCTGGTATGGCTTTATCCGTACCAAAATCTGCCTCTGTGGCCCCACAGCCTTTTACCATGGTCATATCTCTCTCTCCTCTGTCTCCATAAGGGACACCTGTCATTGGTTTAGAGCCCAATCCCCAGTGGCACCTGGAGATCCTACTATGTCACGACCCTCGCTCACAGGTGCTGAGGGTCACCTACCCCTGAACCACTACCTTTCAGACAGGAGTCCCTCTGGGTCCTTCCGTCCCCTGTAAATAGCACTAGCGGCCCACTCAGTTGTGGTTCAGACAAGACCGTTTGTGTGGGGAGGGTGATGTTGCACATGACTAGAAGTGTTTGTCTCAGGGCAGGGGTGACTAGGCAGGATAATCGGCTAGGACAGGTCATGGTGGGGACGAATGACCAGGTCCTAGGTGATGGTTGACAGTAGCTGAAGCTACACGGCAGATATCTACCAGACAGCATGTAACCTAGGAGCCTGTCCAGGGCCCCCCTGTGGCGTACGTAGCCTTGGGCCAGTCACTTTCCTTTCTTTCTTCAGCAACTTCCCTGACTGCAGGGACACAGGAGCCATCTCAAAGGGAGCCGTTAGGGTTCTATTGACAGCTGTGCCATGCAGATGACATCAGGCGTATGTGGCAAAGGCCCATCTTCTTGGGGACCATTCCGGGCCCTGGGGGAAGTGGGTGAGGAGGGCTGGTTTCAGGGTCCCAGATGGGCACTGCTGTAACCCAGAGCCTCTGGAGAGCGGGGCTCTGCCCTGACGCTACAAAGCTCTGGCGCCACACACCTGCCTGATCTGCCTGAAGCCCTCGGGCGGCACGCTGGCGAAGATGTTGCACTCTGGTCTTGCCAGGATCTGGAAGGCAATGGCGCAGTGGTGGTTCTCCAGCGGTGAGATGTCGTTGTAGCGCACGGCCAGTTCTGTGCGGGCGTTGATCTGGTATCTAGGGTATGTGGAGAGAGCAGGAGGCTCAGGCACCCTGCACCAGCATTTGTATGCCATGGAGCACATGGTGCCTGCAGAGGCTGGAGGGACCACATGCCAAGGGCTCACGTCAGAAGCTCGCTTCAGCTGAACCTCTGACGGGCATGCTCCTGTAATTAGATACCCCTGGTCCTTTAGGGTATATTCTCGGCTCTCTCAATGAGTGATGCCTTGAAGGCATCAGGGTTCCAAAAACTGTCAGGTTTTCAATATATGCAAAGACAGAATTTTGGGAAAGTAGAAATAGGTTTGTTCTCTCATTCCCTCTAAATGCATATAAAAAAAAGGATCTCAACCTGAGTTCCAGCTTGACCTAGAACTCAGGATCTTCTTGCCTCACTCAGCCTCCAAGAGCTGGGGTTCCAGGAGAGCCCCACTGTGCCATCCTAAGGGCTGAATTTGGGGGCTAATGATAAAATGAAGAACTCTTCGCCAGCCTGTTGTTGGCAGCTGCTCCGCTGAGCACTGAATGTGCACAAAGGTAATAGATGTGTTCTCCAGACAGTCCCCGAGGAGCACTCATGGCCACACCTGGCCTGGCACCTGTTCTGTCCTGACCAGCCTCTGAGGAATACACACGGCTAGACCTGGAGCCCACTCCGTCCTGAAAAATGGCCACATGGGCCCCAAGGGCATCTGCTGTCACTGCACAGCCACAAAGGTGCATTAGGAAAAAACCCATGTGTCACTGAATTCAAACTCACACCATCAGGGTGGACTGTTGGTCTCATGGGGCAGCATTCTACCCAACGGAGACAGTAGGGGCTTAGTGTCCCCAGAGTTGGGCCCATCCTTTTGGCCCAGTCACATGCACTCTGTCAGCCCTGCCCTCACTCACTCTGGGCCCCTGTCCTCTGCCTGTGCCTTTGGAAGTAGCCTGAGGAGGAAGCTTCCTGGCAGAGAATGGTGTGGAGGCCTGCTCTCCCCACCTTCGGGAGGAAACAGGCTGGTACTGCCATGCACCCCCAGAGCCTGGGGCTGACACAAAAGGAATTGTGGTTGCATGTAGGGTTTGGTGACTTTGGAGTTTCTATCCCAAGGGAGGCCCAGGGCCCTGGACAAAGCCCAAAAGCTGTCAACTGCATCCTGCAGGTCTGGAGGGGATTGAGGGTCTGTGGGGAGGCTAGGTCAGTAGCTCCATCTGAGAGCTGCTGAAGGGTTTCCCCTGAGAGAAGGAGCACTTTTCAAAGGAGAAACGAGAAAGAAATCCCAAACGTACGTGTTGTTGTACCCTGGGTGGTCCAGGTCATGGCAGATGGCTGCGGTCATCAGGACCAAGATGTCCATCTGGGAAAACTTCTCCTGGATTAGGTGAGAGTCAGGCGGTCTGTCCTCCTCATGGGAGGACAGGAGGAGTGGGGATAGACTGGGCTGCAGTGACAGGGGAGGACACAGCCCCCCCCTGGGCTGGGGAGAGGAGGACCCAGCCGCTCAGCGGGGTTAGGGACAGAGGCCGGGGCTGGCAGGACCCACCTGGAGGCCACAGAGCCAGACCATGCTGTACATCATCTGCGTCACACAGAAGCAGTGCCGGAAGTTGTGGAAGGGGTTGTTCCGGTAGTTGTCATGCACGCAGAGCTGTGGGGAGGAAAGGGTGAGTCCTCTGTGCTCACTTCTCCCCTGCTCCTATAAGGCTCCCAGGGCTTTCCATGCTCAGGCTCAAGGCCTCCGGTGTTCCCAAGTGGACCAACATAGGACATTGTGCCCCAGAAGCCCTGCAATGTCCCACTACTTTACTAACTGGGAGCATGGACAAAGCATCCCCGAGGTGTCTGCTGAGCCACACTAGAGTTGGGGATGGGGCAGGGAACATTCCCTGAGGGGCTCTAGGTGTCAGGGCTCACGGGACAATTAACAGGCTTTCAGTTTTTGGTTTGCAGCGACAGTCTATCCCTTTGAGAAAGATCTGCTACCAAGCACTCCATCATACCTACACATATCTATGGATAGCCACCCACACCAGGCACCACCCCAGACACATACACGCTCTCTAAATCCCAGAGACACTGCCACAGAGACATCTACCCCACAATCACTTCTCACAGACACACTCGCAGAGACTAACACGCACACACGTTCATTTATATACTCAAAGACATAACCCCACACACTCACATAATCTCCTCCCCCACACATTCCCAGACACACATGACACTCCCCCCAATTCCACGCACCCCTGCTTTAGTGTGCTGCTGCCTTGTGGGTCTCTCTCATTGTATTATTTCCTTGTTCCTCTGAGGGCGTGGGATGACAGATGGGATAAATGACCTCATAGGACTTCCCTGGTACTGATAACACTCTACAGAAGCCCACCGCCAGCAGGACGTGTGACAGGGACAAAGCAACAGGCGTGAGCTCAGCACTTACCAGCCACCTGCGGAGCGTGATAGGGTTGATGCTGAAGTCCCTGACCAGGCCAAGGTCATGGTACATGTGCTCCAAGCAGCTCAGCATCTGTGGAGACAGGGCCAGGGGTCAGGGGTCAGGAGGAGCAGGTAGACCAGCTGCCCCTCCTCACGGACTGTCCTGGACAGTGCCACCAGGGTGACCTGACAAGGTGAGTTTTGCTCCTGGGGGAGAAAGGCCAATCGTGGATCACCCAGATGGACCATGTGTCTATGAGAGCCTGCAGGTCCCCTGGGAGGGAAGTGATAGGCTCAGAAGCCCGTGAACATTCCAGGCAAGAGAGCAACCCTGTGCAGGATGACACCACTTCAGAGGATGACATCAAGATGACAGGGTGTCACTGAGGGCCACTTCTTGCTTGCTCAAGGCCAGAGATGGGAAGGGCTTTAATAACCCGAGGTCCACTCCTTTTGTTGAAACTAGAGATGCTTTCTAGTGTCTTAATCTGGATCTGGAGGGTGGACCTCTTCTCTGAACAAATTTTGTTTCCAGGAATCCTGGCATTGGTGGACACGGTGTATGGTGAGACAGATGTGATGTTTAACCTGCTGTCATTTTTTCGGGTCTCTGCAGACATCTTCCAGAGTTTTTACACTAACAAAGCTAACGAGGAATAGGAGAGGAATTTGTAACTAAGAGCCTGGCTTTTGTAACTAAGAGAGTGGCTTTGCTTCTGGGAGAAGCAGGTCTCAGGGGGGCAGGTGATACAAAGCTGAGGGAGCCAGCCCTGTGGGCTCATAGCATGACCCCAGCAGAGAACCCTCCCCTCTCGGCCACACATCAGGGCCTGCCTGGTCCTGAGCATCAGTGTCCCAGTACCTGCGCAGTTGTCAGTGCTATAGCCTGGCCTGTTTCCCCTGCATCTGGGCACTGAGTGGCAAAATCATGTAAGGGACTGAAATGTGTCCCATGAACATAGTATGTGGAGGCTTCACTGTGACCCACCCATGTGACCGTACTGGGGATGGGTTTTGACAGAGGCAGCTAAGATAAATGTGGTCATTGGGAGGGGCTGGATTCAATCTGACCATGACTCTGCGGAGATATATCCAAACACGGACACATAGAGATGACCGACAGAAGATGCTGAGGAACGAGCAGCCCAAGACACCTTGACCTTGGACCTCTGGCTCCAGGACAGTGGGCTGGTGTTGAGGCTGCCCAGTCTCTGGTGGTCTGACATGGCCAAAGGGAGTGTGGACATGCCACTGAGGTCTATCCTTTTTTGTTATGTACTATGTATGGGCTGAGAGTTAAGGCGAAGTTTTGTGACTACAATATTTTAATTCTGTTGGGAGCAGAGAGTTCTATGGTATCAAGGGTTCAACCAGAAAACAGAAAACACACTCTTACCCAGACCTAATAGGGTGAGCAGGGGGACTAAGAAGGGGGACTCAGGTGGTCCCAGAGCATCCTGAAAGCATGGCGGCCATGCATTCATCTTCCTTGAAAAGCCAATGGCTTTGAAGATGATGGCCCCAGAATGCGCTTCCTGCAGAGCGACAGGTGTTCTGGTCTTGGCTTGAGGACGGCTGGCACTCAGGCTGCTGACAGCTGCTTTCCAGAGCTACCAGACCCTCCCCCCGCCCCCGACACACACACCATCCTGGATGCCAGTCCTCAGGACCCTTGGGCTACAGCCCCAAACCACTGTTTTAGTGCCACAGGCCCAGACAGTGTTCTGAGCAACCCTGGAGAGATGAAATATCTGCTGTGAAATCAGAGTTGAGAGACGCTGAGAACTGCCAGACGAAACCATCTGCTCCCACGTCTGTGATGGACGGACGCGGTGGCTTCGGAGATAGTCTGTTCCTGTGACGGTCCTCAACCCCAGCTGAGTGAGTGAGCGAGCGGGTGGTTCCTGGCTATGGTGAGGAGTACTGATCGAGAGGGGAGCACTTGCAGGGTGACAGTGGCTGGTCCTTCAGTGTGGCACAGCAGCCACCTTACTGTCTGCAGCCTCGGGATGGAGCCAATGGAGCGGAGGCATCAGAACAATACGATATCCCATACAGGGCCAGGTTTGAGAAGGGCAGGGCACTGGGTAGAGCTGTGGGTTGATGTGGCATTACACCCACTGGAAAAGAGAGGCGAGTCCCAATGGGGTTCTTGGCTCCTTCCCATCTCAGGGCTCGTCCTCAGTGTATCTTCAGTTATGCATCTTTGCCGTCCATGCCTGAATTTGCAAGAGGCCGGGGCTCTTGACTTGGGGGGCATTTCTGCCTTACTATATAATGGTAGAGAGAAACCTCCAGAAGCACCCTGCTAGTCTCCCTGGCCAAAGCTATGGCTGATGGAAGATATCACATGGCTGGGTCGGGCCTCTCCTCATGCCTACTTGCCAGTCAGAGAGCAGCACTGAATAATCTGCAAAGCGAGGGCAGAGGGCCTGCAGATCCGAACGCCAGTCCTCACTGCGCGCAGCGAGCTCTTCAGCCACTGAGCAGCTCTTCAGCCTGGTCTCCACCTTTCTGACCAAGCGTTACCCAGCCAGAGACCTTCTTATGCTGGGCAAGCATGGGCTGGAAGAGGTTTACTTGGGAAATTTGGGACCCTATTGTCTAAACAGTCTGCTATGACTGACCTTGTCAAAAGCAACAGGGGACACGTAGCAGGGAGCAGAAGGCATTTTTTTTTGCCTCTTTCTACATATCTGTGCTTTGGAAAGGCTGGAAAGAGCCCTTGGGTTTTGGTGAGTTGTCTATAAAGAGGAAATTTATTCTTTCATTATCCATGTTGTTATTTCTTTTTTCTTTCTTTCTTTCTTTCTTTCTTTCTTTCTTTCTTTCTTTCTTTCTTCCTTCCTTCCTTCCTTCCTTCCTTCCTTCCTTCCTTTCTTTCTTTCTCTTTCTTTCTTTTCCTTTCTCTTTTTTTTTTCCCGAAACTTCTGTGTAGCCCTGGCTATCCTGGAACTTGCTCTGTAGACCAGGCTGGCCTTGGACTCAGAGATCCTTTCTGAGTGCTGGGATCAAAGGTGTGCACCACCACCACCTGGAGGCATTTCTTACAGAACAAGAGGACTTGAAGAAATATTTTCCCATCAGAAGCAACTCTTATCTCTGCACATCTCCCATATCCACATTTCTACTTGTGTCCAGCTGCCTGGGGGCCTCTGTGGGCCACTCTTCCCACGTCTCCTTTGGAGGCCTGTTTCTGCAGGAAATCGCTCTTCCAAGCAGCGGCTGTGTCTCCAGATGGCTCCATCTTCCCACGTCTCCTACAGATGTGGGTGCACCCAGCCTGGGGCCTGGGGTTAAGATCAGCAGCAGGCCAGGAGTTGATGTTTCGTCTTCTCGGGGAAGCCCCATGTGCCTTGGGCCATCTCCTGTATCCCTTTGAGTATCCGCTTAAACGAAAATCTAGAGATTTTAATTCAGGGGGCGTTTAAGTTAAAAAAAAAAAAAAAAAAAAAAGACAGGAGAAAGTGCACAGGAGTAGCTTGGGCACAAGTCCCTCCTCAGGATTTGCAGTCCTGAGCAGCTGTCCCCAGTGCCCAGGGAACTTGGATGTTCCTCACCTACCTCGTTGGGCTCCCAAAGCCAGACATCAAAGGTGGGCTTGCGGAGGGCTTCGATGGTCTCTGGGGAGAGCAGATACTAGAAAGGATGGAAGTGAGATGTTAGGCAGTGGGGCTTCTGAGAGTGACGGAGGCCTCAGAGGTCCTTGTGGGCATTTTCTCCATTTTCTGGTCCCTGTCACGGACACTGTGCACTGACTCTAGCCTGCCTTTCTCGGACACTGCCAATGGACTCCCATCTGTAGTGGCCTGGGCTAGGGCACGAGGGGCTTCTTGGGGACATTCGAGTGATAGAAATATTCCCTATGCTTATCATGATGCTAACTTCATGACTACGTTTGCCAAAACTCGCTGTGCTCAGATTCTGAGAAGAGAAGCTGTCTAGCCATCAATCAGATCTCAACAGTAAAAGCAATATAAAGTATAGAAAAGGGACAACAAGCCACTGGGTATATATATTCAAACCCCTGCCAAGAAGCTCTGCTAGGTTTGTCTTGCGGGGAACCACTCCCTGGAATCATCCGTGAGCTTCACCATACACTGGCTGATGGGAGAAGCCACACGCTGGCTGATGGAGTCCTTGGCCCAGGGTCAGCCCGACTGAGCACTAAGGTTTAGGGGGTGAACTGTCATAATCAAGGCTGATAGTCTAGACACAAGGCAGCAGCAGGGCTGCCATTTGGGCTAGCCTTGTTCATTTTCTTAAGAAAGGACTGGTGTGGGAGCCAGCTCAGTTTGCTCCAGGTCTGGGTTGTGTAACCTCCGGACAGGACTGCAGAAGATGAGGGTCATATTTTCTCTTGTGGGAAGGTAGTGCTCTCCTGGGTGATGACCCAGTCTGTGGCTTGGACCCATATGGAGCAAAACACCGACTGGAGGGCACCAAGGACCTATGGGGGCTTCCAGAAAGACCTGTGGGTGGCTGGCCTAACCTCAGAGTAACAGTGCGAGCCAGGGTTTAAGCAGGGGTCACCACCGAGGAGGTGACGTAGGCCTCTAAAACAACTTAACTCTAGGTCACAGCTACTTGAGTAAAGACTTGGCTGCTTTCAAAACGGAGAAAAGCTTTTGTGCAAGGCTTTTCATAGAAACACTGTTCAGGGATGGGGGGAGCCAGGGCTGCAGACTTTTAAGAGCCTTGTTAACGTTCCTTAGTGGAATGCAGATGTCTTTCACTGTCACTGTGGGCCAGGGAGGGCGCCAGAAAGGCTATTACCTCTCCCACTCTGGAATTGCTTCTCTAAACAAATGTCCAAGAGAAAAATATCCTGCCTGACAACCTCCCACCCTTCCTTGACCTGAGCCTGGGCCATTATCACTGGGCAGAGTTGGGGGCCAGACATGGGTCTCCGTATCTTGGTGCTGGGGGGAAGGGAAGACACGGAGCTAGAATTGTCCCTGGGCCAGAAGTCCACCTCACCTTGGGGTAAGTGGGGACATCACGTCGAGGTGTCAACTTCTTGTTATCCAAGAAACTGTACTTACAGGGACAGTTGGTCCTAGAGGGCAGAAGGAGAATTTAGTTACAGCAATGTGCTCCGGCTTGGAGGCGCCCTGGGTGCTGTTCAGGGCATCAGAGCAAAACAGAACACACAACCCCAGCCCCAGGACCCCACAGCCGCAGCCCCCCCAAACTGTAGCCCCAGCCCTGGAACACACAGACCCAACCCACTGGATTTGTCATAGGAGTCTCGGTCATGGTGGCTGTGAGATGCTTGGCTCTCAGCCTGTGAACAGGAAACACCCAGGAAGCCTGCTGCTGCTGTAGCTGGAGTTTACTTTAGTGTCTACAAAATCTTTTAAAATGGCACCAAGTAAAACACTCTTTTTGCTTTCTTTCTTTTTCCTTTTTCCCCCCCTCCCTGAGACAGGATCTCATATAGCCCAGGCTGGCCTCAAACTTGTTACGTAACCAAAGATGACCTTGAACTTCTGATCCTCCTGTGTGATAGGATAATAGAGGTGCTTTACCACCCAGTGCATTCTACCAACTGAGCCACATCCCACACACAGTAAAACATTCATTTTGTTTTGTTTTACTTGAGACAGGGTTTCTCTGTGTAGCCTTGGCTGTCCTGGAACTCGCTCTATGGGCTAGGCAGGCCCTGGGCTATAGATGGAGATCCTGACTCAGGATGAACAAAAAAACAACAAATGCAGGAGGAAAACCAAAAGGAAACCCTGAAGTCCTCATTTATCCATTTTCTCCCTAAGCCCCACACCCTGGCAAGCCACCCCGAGAACAGCTTGGGGTATCCTTTTAGAAGGTTCTAGGCACAGCCCACACACATGGCTAGACGACAGAGCTTTCCAACCATATTTCCTGTTGGGTTAAGAAAAAGGGTGGGCTTGTGGGAAAATCTACAACCTGCATGGTCACAATTTAATCTACTTATTTTACATAGATGTCACAAGTGAAAAAGATCACAAAATGGTACTTTTAAGTTTTTTTTTTTTTTTTTTTTTTCTTCAAAACTAGTTGAATATACCCAGGAAATGTCTGGGGGGAGGCCTCTGTGATGGATTTAAATCGAAGGCTGTTGTCACTACCAGTGACCCCCTTGTCTCTCTCTGGGTTGTCTGGAGTCTCCTGTGAGCCTGTGTTTTGATTCCAAGTCCAGAATCATAAACCTTTTCTTTCTGAAACACAGCCTCTGGTTGCCTTTTTCCCAACTGCACGCTTGCAAAAACTACCAGGTTGTTGGGACAGTGGCTGCATCAAGAGGATTCTAACACAGATTTAGCAAACTCATGACAGAAAAGAACCAGTCAAATGTCCCAGTGAAGCCAGTTTAACCCCCAATCCCTGCCGTCCCACAAGCCCACCCCCTCTCATTTCAGGTCAGCCATGCTCTTGGCTGTATAGGGTCCACAGTAGCACTGCTTCCTTTCTCCTTCAGCCTGGTTCGTACCCACATTCGAGAATGCGTTCCGCTCAGGGAATACAGATAGGAATATGGCATATGGAAGTCCTCACCGGGCGCGATGCTGACTGCTAGAATCCAGATCATTCCTGGTAACCAAGGCCTTGGGCGCAGACAGAGATGCTGGGTGCCTGCTGACCCTGCCTCGGCCAACCACTTCCCGCCCTGGGCCCCGTTGCCACAGGAACCAGCATCCTCCGGCAGGCAGAGCAGCTGGCATATCGCCTCTTCTTTTTGTTTCGTTTGGAGCTTATTTTTGCCTCATTTCCTGGGCTTCCCATCCTCCCTCCCCTGGGGCTCAGTTCACGGCCAAGGCCATTAGTCTGGGACAAAGGCAGAGAATACAGACGCCAGCCCTCAGTCACCACTCTGTGTTTCTGCATTACCCTCCTCTGGCCTTGTTTCCTGCCTGTTCCCTCCTTGAGTGGTATTGGGAACCACAGCAGACATAGTCCCCTTAGAACTCATTTCTGCTCTGAATGTGACCTGGCCACTGGAATTCATTTCTTTCAGGAAAACAGAGGGACCTGAGTGAGTCTAAGAAGTCAGCCTGCCCAGAGTGCTGGCAGGCTGTGTGTGTTCCCTCTGCTGTCCCCAGGTGGGTGCTGATGAATTTAGACCCCTGCTGAGGTGTGTTTACAAGTGGGCAAAGGTCAGTCTGTTCTTCGGGATCACGAGCTACTCTAAGTGTAGGGCTAGGTTCTGCCTCACCTGCTCCGTAGCATCCCACCGGCCCACCCGTCTCTCCTTTGCAAGGGATGCCCCCAGCACCGTCTACAGGGAATGCCACCTCTGCAAGCCTGCTGGGGCCCTGGAGGGCTCTGGTTTGTGTCTCTGTGAGCTCTAAACTGTACCTGTGGGGTACAGGGTCATATTCATCACCGAGACAAGCCAAAACCCCACTACAGGCAGACTGCCAGCGCTGCTGATGGCGACTGGCACTGAGGCCACTTGCTCATACCTGGTCCTGCAAACCACGCCTCCCAGGATGTTAACAGGCTGAGTGAGGCCTTGGGGCAGAGGCTGATGTGCTGGGTCCCGGCCTCAGCTGAGTGTCTGCCCCCATGTGACCCTGGGTTCTTAGAGGCCACTCATAAGGGACTCTCTTGATCCCCGAAGAGCTGCTTTCACAGGGACAATGGGAATGAACTGTTTACCCAGTTTCCTATGGCTACAAAATGCTTTGCCCTGCCGCCACCCAAATAGAATGGACCAAGAGCCCCTTAACTCTACAGCAGCTGGCCATACTGTAAGACACTGAATGTGACATGGTCCCATAGGACTCCATGAGTCACCTGTCTTCCCTGTGCTGTGTCCTCCCTAAGACAACTATCCTAGCTATCATGGTGGGACTCCATGGGGACCACTCCCTACCTGCAGGCAAGAGCCACGTCCCACTCTCAGCAGGCAGCCTGGCTTTGTTGCACTAAGGGGATGCTTGAGGTTGGGGTCCTCAGACGGCTGAGGTGATTTGTTCGGGGCTGGTCCTGAGCCAGGATGTTGTCCTACACCTGTGGACTCTGGCTTTAGTGGCTGTTCTTGCTGACCAACCACCCAAGAGGCATGTCTGGCTTGGATTATTGGTCACTGGCCTGAGGACATTACCCATGAAGAGCTGTGTGATCTAAGCCCGTGATAATGGGAGTATTCACTGCGCTCCTGTGACAGAGGGGGATATCCTTGGGACCTAGAAGGGATGAGGATGAAAACTGGGCGCTTGTTCACTCTAAACCTCCTTACTCTTTGCCTCCTTACTGTTAACTTTCAAAACAGCTATCAGTTGGGTGTGGTGGTGTACATCTTTAATCGCAGCACTTGGGAGACAGAGGCAGGTTGATCTCTGTTAGTTTGAGACCAGCCTGGTCTACCTAGTGAGTTCCAGGACAGCCAGAGTGAAACAAACAAACAAACAAACAAACAAACAAACAAACAAGAACACCAACTAACCCCCTCCAAAAAACCCCCCTACAAAATAGCAACAAAACAGACATCAACTTCCTCCAAGTGTGGAATTTTCTGTAACACAGGCCTCTGGAGGAGCATTATTTCCCTCTCATGTGTGGACATTTTCCAGCCACAAAACCCCTTTATAAGAAAATGTAGGGGTCTGGAAAGATGACTCAAGCAGTTATGAGCACTTACTGCTCTTGCAGAGGACAGGGGTTCTAGTCCCCAGCACCCACACAGGCAGCTCACAACTGCCTGTAACCCTAGTTCCAGAGGAACTGACACCTGTCTTTTGGCCACCATGGCCACTAGACACGCAGGCGGTGCACAGACATGCCTCCAGGCAAACAGCCATAGACATGAAATGAACTTAAATCTTTTAGAAAACGGGACCGAGTAGCTGATCTCTGACACAACAGGGCCCCTCTAGCTCGTGCCACCCACGATGAAACCAGACCAGGTCACATTAGCTTTTCTTCTTTCTTTCCCATCCCATGGTTTCCACACAGAACCCTCTCCAGGCCCGGCTGCTGCAGGCTCCGGACACAGGCTTACCTGCTGTTTCTAGCTGCCAGCTCCTCCCGCATCTTCTTAATGTCACTCTTGCATTTTTCGATCTCCACCACTTTAAGTCCTTCCACTGGTGACAAAGAGACACGGATGGGGTCACCAGAAGGAATCGCAGGGATCTAGGCAGGCTGGAAACTGGGGATCCCAGAAGGTTGCTGGGTCGTGGCAGAGGCTTCCATACCTTCCCATGCTACTGATACTTGGGGGTTACCTTGCCTCCCCACCAGCCAAGAAATAAACAAGCCAAGTCAAGGAAGGGCAGGGTCAGACTCAATCACACCCCTGGGGCCCCAGCTAACTGGACAGTGCGCCCACAAGCCAGTGGCCAAGATGCTCCCTCGGAAAATGCTGGGAATGCCTGGACATGAGGCTGGACATGTGGGTTCTTGAGGAAGAAAAGAAATTATGTCTGTTACTTTATGACCACACCTCAGTTTTCTGCCAAAGGACACTACCCATGTGTCAGCCTGTTCCCTTTCTCACTGAGCTCGGCTCCAAGTAACTACTAAAAACACAGCCATTCAGGGACTTGGCAGGTTCCCATCCACGATGAGAAGCTGAAGCTTGGGTGCATGTGTGAAGACATCCTGGTGTGACTCAGCTGTCTTCTGGGTTTTCCAGAATTTCCCAAGGTATCGGCCATGTTGGGATAGGGTTCCCAAGGGACACAATCAGCTCTGGTCCTGGAGACTTGCTTCTGGGTCAGAGAAACTTCTGCCCCTCCCACACAGGACAGGAAGGAGGCTGTGCAGACCAAAATGAGGCTCTCAGGCATCGGTGGCTGGGGACAAGTCAAGGTAGCAGCTGTGGGGTACACAGAGGCTAGGTCTGTTTGTTCACCACTCGGTCACCCCTCCTTTTGAGTGCGGTTCTTAATGCTTTCTTGTATCAGTTACACCCAAAGAAGTTGGAGTCCATGGAACATTCTTCTGAGGACACCACTCAGGCACCCCCGGGTTCCCTAGCGATGAGTTCAATGTGGCCACGGCCGCTGCAGCCTTGTTTAGACCTCCTGGTTGCGCTTTGCAGGTTAAAGGCGTCCCTCTTTGTGATAAACCGACAACCCACAGCGAGTTTCAGCCCCATCAGTTGATGCATGAAAGGCAGAAGGTTGCGGGACGTAAACAGATCCAAGGAGAGGGGCGCCATAGTTCCGCTTGCCGCGTGTGGTGGAGTCAGAGCTGTCCTGGGTAACACAGACCGGCTCTAACGTGCAATCTTCCTGTCTTGGTTTGTAAGCAGCTGGAATTATAGGCGTGGCCTGCCACCCCTGCTGTTCTGCACCTCATGGAAGGCCGCCCATCGCAGACTTCCCATCCTTACCTCCTGCAGAAGGAAGCCCATTCTCTCTGCAATGGGCCAGGCGCTCCACACGGAGAGGCCTTCACAGATAAACCTGCAGGGCCATCTTTCTTTGAAACCTTGGGAAGTGCATGCAGACTCCAGAAGAGATTTTTAAAAAATGTGTGTGTGCATGTCTTTCCTACATAAATGTATACGTGCCACCTAAGGGCAGTGCCAGAGGAGGCCAGAAAAGGGTGCTGGATGCCCCTAGAACTAGAGGTACAGATAGTTGTGAGCTACTGTGTGGGTGGGTCCTGGAAATCGAACCGAGGCTCTCTGGCATTGCAGCCAGTATTCTTAATCACCGAGCCATCTCTCCAGCCCCAACCTCAGCTTCCTTACCTTGCTGCCTCCAGTGGAAAGATTTAAGGGTGACTTCCTAAGGGAGATGTTGGCTCCGTGGAGAAGGGCCTCAGCAGTAGCTGAGGTAGTTTTCACCTCCTTCCATATTAAGAACTTACAGGAGCTGGGGAGCATGCTCTCTCCTGGCTGCAAAGTTAAGGGTTCCCATTCAAAGACAAGGAATAGATTGCTGCTTTTCAGTGCTTTCTCCTGGGACTGCTCCCAAGGCTTGCCTTGGGCACACTTCCTGAGTGACACAGAAAGGCTGATTTGGTTCAATTCAGTATGGAAATTCTGGATTATTTGCATACTCCGAGTCCACCTCTGCCCCCAGGTGTCAGCTTTGGCTGTGGCCCACACTGGTGTTTGTTTAGGTCTTGGTTCCGGTCCAGGGCACGGTACAAAGGGTGGATGGAGCAGGGCTGCCCTGTGCCCCCACCGCAACACACCAGGAAGGAAGTGAATAGCTTCAGGCAGGGCAGGAGGCAAGGGCCAGGCTGTTCCGGGTTTATGAAATCACCTTTGACCCGCCAGTAATCCCAGATTCCTTAAAAGCTAAACATTTACACAGAAAGGGAGAAAAGCGCTGAAAGGCATAGAAGGGAAACGTGTACTTGCTTCGAGGTCAAAGAGCAAGCAGGAAATGCCACTCACGACAAGGTCAGTGTGGTGTGGGGGTTCACAGATGGCCCGACTAGATGGCTATCCCTTACCGTGAGACACAGGTAACAGTTAACGACAAGATGGAGCTGTACACGCATGCATGCCCACAAGGGTGTCTGCCCATGTCTGTACGTGTGTGTTTGTGCATGGTCCTGTGTCTATATGGAGCAGGGACTCACACTGTGTTCCTGGTGGCAGAGCCAGGACCATCTGCATCCTGTTCAGGAGGGAGGCCTTGCTGTGCCATACCTTCCACCATTCCCCTCCCGTGCACCTGACGGTCCCTTCAGAATGAGGCACAGAACCTCTGGGTTCCTCTCTGAAGGTCCCTGGGGATCAGGGTGACATTCCTGGCCACATCAAGGCTAAAGGAAGGGACTCTGGCGACTAGGAAGTGGTCAGCTAGGAGAGCCAGGAATGAAGGGGTCCAGAGCCAGCTGGGTTTTTCAATGGCGGAGAGTGTGTGTTTGTATACAAAGCCACTCCTAGAGGTACAAGAGGACACGTGGATGCCAGGAAGTGAGACCCACAGTCGGGGACCTGGGACGGAAGAGGTACCAGAAGATGATGTCCTCGAGGACTGGAGGATGAGGCGATGTCTGCTGTGTGTGGCAGTCACAAGACAAATGGTGACTGTGGCTTTATGTCTCTGTTGATGGGGATGGTGCCCCGGCAGCAAACTCCACCCATGGAGTTTGTGGCTAAAGCCCTTTCCACATTGAGAGAGTCCGATACTCCACACAGCTTGACAGGAGACTGAGCTGGTCGCCCGTGACAAAGATGGGAATGACGAATGCTCACGGAGGTGGGCTGAGCTGTGTTCCCACCCTTGGATCCTGTGGATGCCGCTCCATTTAGACAAAAGATCCTCGGCAGATGTCACGCGCAGAGCTGGGACCGTCCTTGATTCAAATGGCAGCGTCTTTACAAGCAACAGATGGGGTTCACTGAGACATGGCAGCCACAAGGAGAGAACCACTCGAGGACAGAGGCAGGCTGCAGCCATGCAGCAGTCCCAGCCAGGGAGTGCGAAGGATGGCTGCTAACCACCAACTACCAGAGGGAGGCTAGAACTGACTCTCCCTCCGATCCGGAGGGGCCAGCTTTCAGTGGCCAGCACTGTGGAGAGGGCACGGCTGTGACCCAGCGCGTCACGTGACTACACTCTCTTACTCTGGCTCTCCCGCTGTCAGGCTTTGGCCCAGCTTGCTCCACGCAGGTTTTGAATCTGGCGCCAGAGGCAGCACTGGCAGTGAGGTCAGTGAGATCCAATGATCACTGGCAGTGGGATCCGATGAGAGAGACTGCAGAGGGGTGACAGGGAGGAGTCTATCGGTCACAAGATGGCGGTGGGGGTTATGGTGCATCACACCCTTTAGGAGAAAACAACAAAACAAAACTCTCTCCTGTTCAGAGCAACCAGGGTCCATTTTTCAAACCCATGGTAAGAAGCAGCTCCAGGGACTCCAGACACGGGTCTTTCTTGTCTCACTCGCTGAAAGAACTGGGGTGGTCGCTAGCTTTGTCCCCTCATCATCCCCAGGGAAGACAAGGTAGTGTTGAGGACTCAAACACCAGTTGACTTCGGAAAAGCCAACGCACTTTGAGACGACGGGAACACATTTCCTCGTATTCTGGTAAGCTGGGTTTTGTAGGAGAGAAATGTTTTTCTTGAAAAATGAGAAGTAATTAAAAAGCAAGAGTACAAGGGGGAAAAATGACATCCACTCAATCTTACGAACAGAACAGCCACGTATTCTTCGGGGATCCATGTCTCTTAATGACTTCCTGTTTGAATTTTGTTTACTCAGCCCAAGTTAATAAATTAGCTGCCCATGTGTCGCCGGGCTGAGCCTGACAGTGACAGACAGCCTGTCCGTGGAGCTGGGGGTGGAACGTGGGGTCTGGCAGGCCTGTGGAACGGGGCTTCGATCCTTTCATCGATCCCTTTGCTACAGATGAGGTGACCTGAAGCCATTTCCCTCCCCGAATCTGGCTTTTTGGAAAGTGGACTCAGCTTTGTCCTGCTCATGAGCGGAGTTTCTCCCTTCCTTCAGCAGCAGTCAGAAACTGAGATCAAGATGCCATCTACATCACACATTCCAAACTCTGCAGAAGCAAGCTGCACAGCTGTGTGACGAGAAAGCCCCCCCCCCCCCCGCCGCCCCCTACCATGGAGAGAGGCACAAGAGGTAGGGCCCAGGCGGGGGTTCTGCTGGACCACAGGCCGTTCGGCTTTTTACTTTGTGTTCTGTGCACGGACAAAGCTTCGCACCAAGCTTCGCTTTAAAATAGGAACGTGTGCTCAGACCTGTGCTTGCCTGGCCTCCGTCAGTGTCCAAGCGGCGCCCAGAGAAAGGTAGCATTTGCGACCGCACTAACCTGCTCACTGATCTAAGCAGCTAATTCTGCATAAGCAGGAAGAAAAACGGTTCCACTCACATTCCACCCGCTTCTCCAGCACGGCCAGGTGATTTGCGACTTCTGCCTTCAGCTCGTTGATCTTAAACGCCCTGGGGAGCAAAAGTGGGGAGAAGAGATAAAACCGTGACCCGGACCAGCAAACGTTTATGGGTGAGGTCGACAGGGAGAGGGACCAGGACAGCAGGAGGCGCTTTCAAGGAATGCGTAATGTCTGGTCTCTTTAGTGCTCTGTCCCGGGCTCTCTGTGTAGAATTTAAGCTCGGTTGACCCATACCTCACTCCGCCTTCCCCAGCTATGGGGTAGTGCCATGGTCCTGGGTAGTTAAATCACTCGGTTCAAAGTGACTATAAGACGCCATACAGAAATCACTTTGAGAAACTGACAATACTGACACAGGATTAGCAGGGTGTTGTGAATGAAAGGGAAGCCCTCCACCCACACAGCATCGCGGTGGGAAACACTCATTGGTCAAAGGGTGTTTTGCATGCAGCTCCAAGTCTTGGAAGTATGGAGGGGGACAAGCTTTGTCACCCTCCCGGAGAACTCATAGTCTACAAGCAGACACTGGACACGGTTCTGGGGATAAGGTGAAAGTCTGCTAGGATGTGCCCAGCCTAGGCTAGCTCCAGAAGTTACAGAGGGCTGACTGTGGCTAGGGCCAGCTTCTACAAGTCTGGAACATGTATACACAGAGGATACGGTACCTGGAGAACTGCTCTGCCACCTGGGCCAGCACACCCTGGACGAGTTCTTCTCTTTCTACAAACCAAAGGAGAGAGACCGATGCAGTGCGGGCAGGCAGGACGGGTGTGGAGACAGGCAGGTCGCTGAGGGTGCTAGCCCTGTGTGGGCTGCAGGTGTCCCCGAGAAGGATGACCTGTCAGTCACGGGGAGCAGGGCCTCCCCGGGTACAGGTTCCTCTTCTTCTCTGCTGCCTGCTCTTACTAGTCCCCTGTCAGTGGCCCGGGGCTGATGCTCTCCAGGCACTGCCAGAGCTAAATAAAGCAGGCAGGCCCGGGGGCTCTAAATATGGGTAGCTTTCTCTCAGTGCTCATTTTATGGGGACAATTACTACGACACAGTGGGGTCAACGCACCAGCGGAGGGAGAACTCGGTGTTCTCAAGATGGGCCTGCCGAGAGGAAGCAGGCTGGGTGGGGCAGGCCTGGCCTCTTCTGGCCTGCCCTGTAAAACTGGGCTGGGTGGTTGGTTTTACAAGGTTCAGGTCCCAGGCTGATCAGAACTTGCCTCTTTCCTATTTCCTGACCAGCCCAATGCTGTGAGGGGGGAAGGTGCAGGTGGCCGAGACAATATCCTTTGAAGTGATTCTGTCTGTGCCCTTGAGAAATGGGAGAGACCCTCTTATCCCAGCTAACCATTCATTCATGGCCCCAAACTCAGAGACCCTATAAAGGAATTCATAGACTCTTGTACGCTGGCCCGATGCTTAACTCTCTCCGGGAACCAAAACACAGCAAACTAAACCAGCACAGCCGTATGTATGTATGTATGTATGCATGTATGTATGTATGTATACACACACACACACACACACACACACACACACACACACACACACACACTACAATAATTTAGTCTGGCAATGGAACTCAGAAGCTAAGGGATGGCCCTATGTTTCTATCCAGTGCCTGTTTTCTCGTAAATGGTCCTGAGCACACACAAAAGATACACATTTAATACAACGAGAATCAGCACAGCTTGGCTGTGTGCGGTGGCGGAGGCGGCACACGCGTGTTAGGGCCCAAGTATGGGGCTCAGAGGACAACTTTCAGGACTCAGGTCTCTCCTTCTACCACGTGGATCTGGGGGACCAAACTCAGGTCACCGGGATTTGTTTGGCAAGTGGTTTTAACCCCTGAACCATCTGTGGACCTCAGGATTTGTTACACATCAAATATGATGAATCTGTATTGTAGACTCGCACTCTGCTCCTGATAATATTGTCAGCTCAGCACACCTTTAAAATGCCAGCATGTGGGAAGGCAGAGCAGAAGTTAGAGGGCTGGGTGGGCGAGAAGAACAAGTTCAAGGTTAGCTTTAACTGCACAAGATCCCATCGAAAATGGAAAGAAGAGAAAAAAAAATAATAGTCATTTAAAAATGGTCATGTCTGGGAGGCGGAGGCAGGAGGATGACCAGTATTACAGGGTTACATAGCAAGACCCTGACTCTAGAAACAAAACAAAACAAAACAAAACAAAACAAAACAAAACAAAGATTAACAGAATCATTAACATTTGTTGTTAGGTTTAAAAGAGCGGTATTTTGAGGGCTGCAAAAGCGTCTCAGGGATTAAGAACATTGGCTGCTCTTGCAGAGGACCGGGTTTGATTTTCAGCATCCACACGGAGGCCCACAGCCAACCATCTATGACTCCAGTCCCTTCCGACTTCACTGGGTACCAGGCATGCACGAGGCACACTGACATATATTCAAGTCAAACACTCATACACGTAAAAGAAATGAATCTAAAAAACTTTTCAAGTGGTTTTTTTCAAGCAGTAACATAGAACGATTCCATTTTTCAAACACATTGCGCGCGGGGAGGGGAGAACCTTCCAGAAAACCAACAGTAGTGCTCTTTTTCTCATTAAGACTCCATTTTCCTTTTTTTTTTTTTTTTTTTGCTTCCCAAGAGAATCTGTTTATATGATCATATATACATGATATATATATCATATATATATATATGATATATATATATATATATGATCATGGTAGAAAACAGATTCTCTTATAAATTATAAACTTTATAAAGAGGAAGAAAAGTGATTTTCCCTCTCACGTCTTGGCCACTCACACTCAGCCCAAGGAACAGAACATTGCTGGCACCGGATGTCTCCCTGGCCTCCATTACCCCCTTCCCTCCACAGGCCACCTCTGTCCTGAACTTTAAGCAGGGGTGCTGGGTGTGTCCTCCTGCACCTAGTTCCTGTCATAGTCCGTTGATGAGACTGGGGTGCCCCGGTGCCCCGGAGCACGGGCCTGCGATGCCAGTCCATCGTCACCAGGATGACGTCCCTAGAAATAGCGGTGAGAGCACCATTTCAGGCAGCACATGGGGACACCGTGCTGACACGGTGGCACTTAGGTCACTTAAGAAAGTTCTGTGGTTGGTGCCGGATGGTTTAGTCCACCATGTGAGCCCAGGGCAATGGTCCCCACGCTCCGTCTCTGTGTGTCTCCAACAAGCTGCTCTGATACTCCCTCCTAAGGACATTCAACGCGACAGGAACAGAGACTGGTCTACTCCACTTTCGGGCGGCTCTGCTCCCGTCCTCTCTTTCTTTTGGCAGGATTTTGCCTCATAGTCCAGGCTGGCCTCTAAGACTTCTAACTTGGGTTATTGTTATGTTTCTGCCTCCCACGTTCTGGGAGTTCAGGCTTCAGGTACTACGCCAAGCCCTTTCCTTTTTTTTTCTCCCTTTCTTTTCCTCTCCTTTCCTTTCCTTTCTAAAATGTTTGCTAGTGTTTATTCACGGTACAAAATAAAAAGAAACCAAAACCAAAGCCAAATGAATCCATTTAGATGAGTGGTTCTCAACCCGTGGGTCACAATCCCCTTGAGGGGGGGTCCGAATGACCCTTTCACAGGGGTCACCTAAGACCACCGGAAATATCCGATATTTACATTACGATTCATATCAGCAGCGAAATTACAGTCAGGAAGTAGCAAAGAAATACTTTTATGGTTGGGGGGGGTCACTGCAACACGAGGAACTGTATTGAAGGGTCGCAGCGTTAGGAAGGTTGAACCACTGGCCCACATCAACCTCTTACGCCTTCGCTGCCCGGCTGCCTATGGGAAACCCTTCTGGTGTGGTGTGACCTTCCAGTCGCCGTGAGTTCACCTTGAGTGTGCAGGTTCTGTCACCCCAACCCAGCTTCCGGCTGTCTGCCTCCCGTGTACTCACTCAGGTGTCGGTCCAGATGTCTCGCTTAAACCACAGCCAGCCGCAGCCTCCCTGGCTTACCCTCCTAGCTCCACGCCCTGAACACACTGTACAGCCCTATGCCACAGGGACCATCTCACCATCACCGTGACCTTTCAGAACTCCTGTCTGCTCTCCTTAAGTCCCCATCAAAACTCCCCACGACGGACCTCGGAGGGTAATTCTCAGGACACAGTAAGGGCGTTGATACAGGTTATCTTCTGCCTTTGCCCCTGTGCTGCTGGCCTCTCTGGGTGGCTGACAGGCACCCGTCTATCCCCGAGACCCTGAACTCCAACACTGTCAAGTGAGTGGGTGGAGACAGCCCGTGGCCGCCTGGCTCCATGGCCTATAAGAAGAAAAGTCACTTTTCATGGTAACTCTTAGACACCCAACTGGAAGTGTCAGTCACAGAGCCACAGTTGAGCTGCTCACGACTCTAACGACTGGCTTTCTGAGAGGCCTGCACCTACCAGGGAAGTTTATTCAGTGTTCTAAGTGACAGAATTAGAAATCTGATGATCTCAGATGAATGACCGACAGGGGTCGAGGAAGAGTGAGTTCAGAAAGGAAGCGGTCACCGGAAGGGCAGCAGGAGAGGTGGGGGAGGGGAACCGGGAATCCGAGTGTGCCAGCAGGCATAGCTGCCTGGGTCACTGTGCTTTGGGTTGCACAAGGTGAGCTGGCAGAGGCTCCCCATGCTCATTCTCACGAGCACCTGAATTTGAGGCGACTTCCAAGCTGCTTCAGAACACAATGGAAACATAGGGAAGCCTGGAGAGATGGCTCAGAGAAGAAGGGCACCTGATGACGCTTAGGGTCATCAAGCAAGTCCCAGCACCCACACAGTAGCTCACTACCACAGTACCACCCCTCCCAGGGGACTCTGGCACCCTCTACTGGCCTCCCTGGGTATAGGGCACACAAGTGGCACACAGGCAGCAGTCATACATATAAAATAAAAATAAAGAACTAGAAAAAAAAAAAAAAAGAGCTAAAGAAGAGCTGTCATTTGGATTTGATGGATGTAATCCCTTGGGTCTCACAGCATTTATATACTTGCTTTTGATTCTCAGGGGCAGCAGAAATCAGTATGAGGGCAGATGCTGGTATTCCTGTCGTGTACGGCTAAACCTTAGCCCATTTATAACCCATGCCAGCATCTCTATGGTTCTCTTATGGTCTCCTTGTTCAGAAACAGAGCGAGTGGCACACTTGCTCCGTGGCATCCACTCTGTACAGTACACACAACTCAGCACAAAGGGCTCACTGGGGTGTTTATGCAGAGTGTAAAGATTGAATTCTTTTTCTAAGAGAAAAGAGAGGGGAAAAAAAAAAATCCTGGCTGGCACAGCCAGCCACCCAACATGCCCACGAACACAGCCCTGATGGGGAATGGGTGTCCACCGTCGCAGGGATTCCTGCCTTGGCGCTGTTTCCTCCCGGTGGATCCAGAACTTGTAAGCCAGCAAGGAACGTGTGTGTGAAATCCCCAGGGCGCTGTGTGGCCTGTGGCAAATGCCGCTGCCTTTGCTATCATCCCTGCTGCTGCCTTGTGGCCTCAGGGACACTGAGCCAAGGTTTGCCCTAACACCCCCTGTGGCTTGCACTCCTCTGGTGTGTCACAGTCTTTGGGTGAACGAGACTCTCTCTTATCCCCTCCCCTGGCCCCTTCCGCTTCCTTAATAATCCTTTCGTTTACCTCCCTGTCCTGTTTTGAAAAGATTTTTTTTTAATCCTCGTGAGAAAACACATGCATTATTTATCTTTATCCCCTTAGGGAGCCCAAGACCCCTGGATCTGGGGG